GAAGGTTTGGAGCAGGCCATTGGCTACTGACTGTATTTCCCTCACTCAGTACATTTTTGTTTCCCTTTTACCATTTTATCTTGCTTTGGAGGACCATAAATGGTGGCTCACGCCTGTAATCCAAGCACTTTGGGAGGCTGAGGTGGGTGGATCACCTGAGGTCAGGAGTTTGAGATCAGACTGACCAATATGGTGAAACCTCATCTCTACTAACATTAATCTTCATTCAAAACTTGTATTTTTTAGGCTACCGTTGAACAACTAATGTTTGAAGAGAAGAACAAAGCTCAGAGATTACAGACAGAATTAGATGTCAGTGAGCAAGTCCAGAGAGATTTTGTGAAGCTTTCACAGACCCTTCAGGTGAGGCGTTTGGGGAACCACATACAGAGCACGAAGGCAGTTTTGGGGGACAGAACCTTGCCAATCCCTGACTTGACCACTGGCAGTAGCTAGAGGTTTAGAGACTGGCTGCTCCTACCTCCACCCCAAATGTCTGCCTCATCATTCAGGCCAGAAACCTGGTGTGTTCTTCACACTTGGCCCATTTTTCTTTTTCTCTATACCTTGCCAATTTTGCCTCCTTATGAGGAAAGTATAAACTCCTTAGCATACTATGTAAGACTCTTCCCAACCAGGCCTACCCCTGTATTTTGCGCTTTGAAGTGTCACCTTTTAAAAAGTTGGCAAGACTGACAGCTTGTGAAAAGAAAAAAATTAAACGAATTGATCTATTCCAGCTGGGTTAAATCTTTTCTGCCAGGTCCGGAGGCCTGTGTCATGGGCTAGCTTCCGATAGTAGGTAGGCAATCAGGGCCATTGACCAAGCCTGGGCACTGCCCAGTTAGAAGCAGCTTTGAAAATGTCATTCCATCTGACTGATGTATCAAATCCTAAGAGAGATGGCATCAAACCAGGTTTGCCGCCTACATTTTGATGAGTTCCGTTAGAATAAACGTGCATGTTGTGGGGGTAGTGAGCTGAGGGGTCAGACCTTAAAGCACAGACAGTGTTGTTGAACTGCTTGTTTTTAGAGGCTCCCACACATCGCCTGTGGCTCCCAATGTGCCATGCTATAGGCCAGCTGAACATGCCACCGTTCCTGCATGTGTTTTTAATGCGTGCCGTCCATTCCCTCTTACTGGAGTATCTCTCTCCATCCTCTCCCCTTGTCACCCTTGTCTTTGCCCTGTAAAAATGTAGGAGTCAAATGTCATCTCTTCTAGGAAGTCCTTTGTAACTTTTCTGGCAGAATTAAATGCTGCTTCCTTCGTGCTTCCCACGTCTGTTTCCCCTGGTTTCTCCATTTTGAGGCCTTAGAATACAGTAGGTGCCTAATAATGGTTAATGAAAGAATAGTTCAGGAAGAATACAGAGGTTAGCCTCCTCACTCTCAGCAGATGCTGGCCTCACTCCTCAGGCATCAGGCAGGGCCACCTTCAGCTCCTGGGCTCCTCAATTACAGGTTCTCCTTTTATTCCCAGCCTTCTGTTTTCCTTCAGAGAAAATGATGGCCTGCTTCTGAGCACAGTGTGTCACTGCATAGAAAGGACAGGTAAGTCGTGAGTTTCAAATTAATTCTGTCAGCAACCGGTGGTTATTTATTGACTCCTACTATGGTAGACCCAACGAATAAAAAAT